CCTTGAAACGGTCCAAAAACGTCATAAAATTCAAAATGGCCGACTTCCTGATTAGTTTAGAGAAAAATTCCAAGAGGATTTTTTGTACGTCCCATCACGATCCACATTCCTCCCAAATTTCATACAGCTAGGTGAAACCCGATGTTGGGGCTACTCAATAGGGGGCGCTATCGAGTGGACACCCCAATCAGACTGCAATTTTCGCAAATTCTGGCTTGCGTGCTAAATTTCGACATTTTGCCAGTATCCCAAGAACCTCCTTTTTGCGACGAAACAAGTACGATAATAATAAACAATCGAAAAACAATAGGTCCTCCGCTCCGACTACGTCGGTGCTCGGGCCCTAATAATAACATCAGGAAGTAGAATGATTCATAGAAATAGTGATATTTGTTGATATCAGTTCAAAGCGTGACGTCTTAATGTCTGACATTTATGATCAATGCGTTTGTAAAAGACTTCTTGGTTTCTACAGGTTTTGGCGGTCCGTCCTCATAAGCAGTCATATATATATATATATATATATGAATATGAATATGAATATGAATATATCTCAGCTGTCACTCTCTGGTCGCAGGTGAACACACCTGTTCTGACTGATCAGCCTTCTAAAGTCAGAGTCCAGCAGCTCATCACGATGACATCACAGCAGACTCCATTCACAGAATCACATCTAGAGAACCGCTGAGATTTAATAAAAATGTGACTTTGATGTCAATAATATTATTAAAACTGATGTAAAAGTTAAAAATATGATATTTGTAAGTGATAATAAGTATAAAGTGTATTTAAATAGATTTCATATTCTGTACATTAAGTGAAAGTAAATACTGAGGTCATAACAATTTAAAGTTTCCTTAAAGTGACTCAATCTATTCAATCAGTTCTAAGTGGTTTTGTACCAATAACGTCATCTCACGTCACAGTGTAACGCCTCCTCACGTGAGAGATTCTGTAGAAACTGAACTTTAAGAGATGAACATGTTTTAATAAAAGTGAACATGATGAAGCAGAATCACAGCTCGGCCTCTGAAGGATTTTAAAAACTTATTTTTTAAATGTATAAAACAATAGAAATTAACATTTTAACGCGCGAGTTGATGAAAGTGAAAGTCAGGACTGAACACATTCTGTGCACAGTTACAGCTTTGAGGCCAACATGCACCGGGTTCCGGTAACGTTACCAGAGCAGAGAACCGGTCCTCCAGAACCTCCACGGTGAGCTCCACCTGGGCCCGGATCACGCGCCGCTCAAAGTCCACGCGCAGGTTGAGGTTCAAGTGTCTGGTGACGCACCTGGTGACGGAGGAGAAGGAGCACGGGTCCATGACGACGGTCCGGTGAGTAAAGGTGAGTACGGAGAGACTGAACCGACACACACGTTCTTATAGCTACCGGAACACGCTGCGCTCACATCCGGAACCGGCTCCTTTCAAAATAAGAGTCAAGTGTGACATGCTTTTATTTTGAAGCCTAGAGAGGTTTACCCGAACAACTGGTCCCGGATCCGCGGGAAAATATGGAATAAATATAATAAAATAAAATAAAAAATTAAATTAAATTAAATTTCAAAAATGTACAAAAATAAATGAAAAACTACCAAAAAAGATGAAAAACTACAAAATAAATAAAGAGATGAAAAGTTAGACTTGATAATAAGCCATGCCCGTGGTAAGTCGAAATGATGAGATGAAGTCATACTTTATGTATCTGTGAGTTTGGACAAATAAAACATTTAAATGAGAAATAAATCAAAGCTATCAGTCATATTTAAAAAGTAAATTAATCTTTGAATAAAACAGACGAACCAGAACGTCACAAACAACAACATCCTTTATTTTTAACATCAATTCTAATCTTTAATAAGTTACAACGTCTGGAAACAAAACACGTTAAACATTCACATATGTTCAGCACAGAGAGAAAAGAAAAACTTGAATTATGTTTAAATTATATTCATCATGAAGACCCGTCGAGGAGTTCACATAGATATAGATATCTATATATAGATATCTAGATAGATGGATAGATATATATATATATATATCGATACGAGAGGTTCAGGATCGATCGGGAGAGATCGGCGTCTATCGGAAGTCCTCGGCGGAGAACATTCCCTTGGCGCGGCGCAGGATGGAGTCCTTGGAGGCGTCGTACGGATGCTCCTTGGACGGGATCTCCAGCACCGCCGGGATGGACTGCATGTGGCCGTCGATGGCGTGACGGATCATCTCGGCGATGAACTGGTTGATGAGGATGATGCCGATGTCGTTACGAGCCAAGAAGCTCCTACGAGGAAGAGGAAGAACACCAGAGTAAGGTCAGAAAATCAGCAACTTAAAGAGTTCACTGTGGAAAAGTGTTTCAAACATTTAGAAAAGCTTGAGAAACATCATTTAAATGAATTCATGATGAAGAAGAGGAAACCCTGAACCCTCACTTTTAACTGACTTTAAATCAGCTCATCAGAGACACAAACTGCATTTACAGACTTCTTCTCTACAGCTGACTGCATCACTTGTGTGACGTCACCGATGTGACGTTTGCGTCCTCGTGATTAAATGCGTTTCAACAGAAACCAGATAACCGATGATCACGTGTATATCCGCTGATCTTTAACCGTCTGAACGGAGTTGGTGTTTCTGAGGCTCTTCTTACTTGAAGGTCTCCTCGATCTCCGTGATGCTCGTGTCCTTCTCCACCACCAGGAAATTGGGTTTCCGGTTCTTGTTGAGCTCACCGATCCCACCGAGCAGAAATCCGGTGCACGTGTCCTCGTCACCGATCACGGCGATCAGTTTTCCGCGTCCAGCCATCACCGGAGAGCTTTCAGAGGATCGATTAACGGAGAGAAACGAGGAGAACCGGACCTTCTGTTCGTTCCAAGAGGCTGAAGAGTCACGTGAGCAGGTCAGCTGACCGGCCACTTCCGCTTTAGCTAAATATATATATATATATATATATATGCGCGCGCACCCTGCTGCTCCACTAAATAATATGTTCATATTAAAAATAATCCGGATAACGTTGAACGATGACGTCATGTGGAGACATGCTGCCTTCAGGTGCACTTTTTATTGTTGTTTTT